TTCTCAGGTAGTGTGGATGAGATGCCCAGGGCAGCGTCCGTGCCCCTACTGGGAATGCTGATGGGGGGGAGGGGCAGGGTGAGCTGGAGTGTCTGAACACAGGAGTGGCAAAAAGGGGGGTCTCTCTGGGACCACTTTTATGGTGTGATTTAGGGTGTTGTTCTAGCTGCTTTCAGCTTGTTTCTCTAGCCCTCCCAGAGAGTCTGCAAACTGCCTAACATTCTTTGATAAATATCTTTTCTACTTAAATTAGCCAGTTTGGATTTCTGTTGTTCAGCTAAGAACCATGACTTCTTGAGCCACCTCTCCCAGTGAAAGTAAGAAAGTGGGGTGCCAACCATTTTCCAGGGAGATCAAGCTTCAGGCCAAGACTGACTCCTTCACAGAATCAAGTCTGAGAGAAAGAGGAGGAGAGCAGGGTCTGGCTTTTTTTTTTTTTTTTTACCAATTTGGACTTAAGAAACAGAAGAAAACAGCACTTATTCTGAGACTTTTAATCAGACAGAGTGACTCTTCCCACTAACACAGTGGCTGTTAAAACACCTTCTGGGAGAGACCAACATTCACTGGTAAGGTTGGCTTGGGGGCTGTGATCAATGCAAAGCACTTGGCCATCCGTAGGCCTTGATTCAAACAAATATGTTTATGGGGTGTATGCCCTGTGCCACCCACTGTTCTAGGTACTGGGAATCCAGTGAACAAGGGAGACAAAAATCCTGCCTTCTGGTAGCTTACAACCTAGTGGGAGAGACAGTATACACATAAATAAAAAATAATGTCAAAAGGTAATAAACTCAGTGGAGAAAAATAAAGCAGGACAGGAGCTAGGGGGTGCTGGGCGGAGGGGCTGGGAAAATTGTATATTTAATTAGCATATCCAAGAAGGCTTCACTAAGAGGGGGGCCTGAAGGGAGCGAGAGACTTGGTAAGGGGATCAGTTATTACTATAGGGGTGTTTCCCATGGCTGTACTCTCCCATCCTCCCCTCCTCCCCTCTGAGAACACTTGTCAGAAACAAGCTTAATTGTGAGGACTATGGGCCGAACATCTGAAGGGAAACTCTGGGCCGTGTGGGTGCCTCATGCTCTGGTGCATGGAAGTTAGGAGCTTCCTAGGGTGCCCTGGGCTGCCAAGCTGAATGCGCTCAGCTGGGCAGGGCTCCCTGGAGGAAATGACTTCTGAAAATGGGACCGGCAACCACCCAGTCCTGCTCACTTGGCAGGCAAAACCTTGTTTATAGGCTTTGGGGCTTTACCGAAGGCAGCTCCCCTTCCTGATGAGAGACGAAGTCCCATCTTTGTATCAGAGTCTTTCCTCCCCAAGTAGTAAATCTACACATGGCATAGAGAAACTGTGCCCCGTCTTACTGCTCTATTAGAACAAATATAAACAAACCAAGCCCTACTACTCTGGATTCTCTATCTGGAATTCTGATTCCCTCAGAGTCCTTACAAGACAGGCTGAGCCTTTTGCCTCCTTTCTGACCAGACCAGACTCCTCTTTTTAATACAACCACCCTGGGCTATAATAACCCTCTCGTTTTCATCCACCCTCCATCCACTCCACCCTCCCACCTTCCCCAAGCATTCATTATTCACCGTGATTCCTAAGAGACTGGAAGGAAGAAGCACAGTAGATTTCCCTGGAATGCCGATAAAAGGAGATAAAGAGAACTGTTGGGTTATTGGGTCTTGCAGCTTTTTATTACTAAGGGACTCTGTGCCTTAGAAACTCTATATTGTAGGTTTTTGTTGTTATCAGGAGTGATGCTTTTTACACACCGCCGTGCATGGGAACACGATCTGACCTACAGTATAATAAATCCAAAGTACCAAGCAGCAATTTGTAACAAGATTTTAATGTATTTTCTCTCATTATCCAAGAGGAACCTTCCCCATGAGTGCTTGCTCTGCTCAGAGTCTGTGGCAGGGGCCAGAAAGAAGTCCAGGGAAAGAATACACCCCTGGCTATGTCTTTTACTACATTCCAGAGACTAATTTAATGTCTTCCCAGCCCAAGTTCTTAATTTCTTTGCCTTACACATGATTATTGCTGGGGGACTATGTGGTTTTTAAGAGCCTTTTTGAAAGGACTAGAAATTGAGATGCAAATCGTGTGATGTATCTTTTTTGCTATGCAAAATTCCTATATGCAATCTAATCCAGTTATGCAAAGCAGCAAGATTTTGGATTTAATACCTTTAAAAGCAATTGGCAGCGGGTATGGGAAATCAGTAAATATTAAACCCATGTCTCTCCCATCTTAGACTCTATATTTCCTGGGAACTGATACCCAGCAGAAGTCATATTCAGCTAGTCAGTTGAAAAAGATATCCATGTATCCATGCACAAATGTTTATTAACTATCTAAAAATGTAGACTCTGCTGGGGCATAATCTGTGTCCTCAAAGAGCTTTGACATTTTGGTGGGAGCAGCAGGTAGACAATCAAGAGAGAGTGAAGGGCTAAATTGAGGAGGAAGAGGTGTGAGAATCTTAACAAGCAAAATTGTTCCTTTCTCGATCATCCTGGTCAATAGATAAAGGGATATTGTGCCCCTCCTACGCCAGACCAACAGCGCATTCGTGGGCCGTTTGTCAAGTAATGGTTCTATGCCACCCATGAACGACACTCTTTACATATGCTCTCTCATTCAATTGTCACATCGGTTATATGAGGTAAGTACTATTAACTTCATTCTACAGATGAGAAAACTGAGACTCGGAGAAATTAAGTAACTTGCCCAGGATCACATTGCTCGTAGAAGCAGAATTGATATTTACAACTGGGTCTGAGACCAAGTTCTGAGGATTAGCACTTGCTGGCCTAATTCTTCATTATTGCAGACACAGTCACAGTCAAGAGCAGTGGATAAAGATCTATAGTTCAAACACTACTGATGAATGGCTATTGTTAGTGTCTGGAACTGCCCAGAATAGGTGTCCGAAGCCAGGGCGTTAGGACCCGAGGACTAGAACCAAATTAAGGCACAGGAGTAAAATGCCTGTTTGTTACACTCCCTCCGAATACAATGACCCTTCAGACTTTGATGTTTGCTGCAGTATTTTTGTGTTTCATGGGCGAAAGCGAAGGTGAGACGTTTTGTAGTCATTCCTCTAAGTCTTCAGACTCTGGCAGCACAAGAAAAATAGTAGGAAGAAGAGACCACACCTTCTGCAAGATGAGCTCATAAAAGATGAGCTCAGCTGCCTGCATCCATTCTCTTAAAGGCACAGCTGCAGGATGGCTGGAGCTGCATTGGTTTGGAAACCCTCAACAGTGGGCCCAGCCCTTCAGTCTGGTTTTGGAACAGTTGTTATTCCTAACCCTTTCTGCGGGGAGAGGACAGGTCATGAAGACTGCAGTTGCAGGCTTCGGACGGATGAATGAACCAAGATGGTGGCACTGCTAGTTACACGAAGAATGCACGGAGGCATTCCTCTTACACACCTGCTTTCCCAGGCTCAAAGATGTGTATGGGCTAAGAAGAAATTGCAACACATTTTGGCTTAGTTGTCACTGGGGCCACACCTACAAGGCTGACTGCAGTGGAGGCAGCAAGTGAAGCCTAGAGAAATCTGATGATGTGTATTAATTTGAGAGCTTCCAGTTAATCCTGTCTCATAGGGTCAATGTCAGACTCCTCGGTCAGTCCTCTACTCTCGTCAGGGAAATGGACCTTCTGGCTTGCTATCTCCTCTCTCTAGTCATCTGACTCTTTGTGCATTCCCAGGGCCTGCTAAAGTGCCTGGCACAAAATGGGAGTTTAGTTAATGTCTGCCAGGTCAATCCAGAAGGAAGCACTAGGGGAAGCCTTCAAGGCCATTTGGAAAATGGTCTTTCTGTTGGATGGACCGAGAGAAGGGAAGATCTGCTGGATGGGACCTTAGATCCATCCTCAATCCTCCCGTGGTGGCAGGCTGCAGGCCAGGCTTTATGTAGACTCAGAATGTTTAAGGCTGGAGTCTGCCAGGACTTCATGTGGAGGTTGGGAAATTCTACAGCTAGCTCTGGAGAGACAGGGTAAGAAAGTCCTTCCAAAATCAGAGTGGAAGAAGTACAGTCTGAAGGGATGGCTGATGTTTTTCGCGGGAAATTAAATGGTGTCTATGGAGGCCCCAACCCAGTCATGCTGGAGGGTGAACTTAAGGTCTGGGACAGAAAGAAGCTGGCCTTAAAGAATAGTATCAGGTCGGGCAGCCTGAAGGAAAACAAATTCTGGAGGCTTCCAAGCATTCTCCTCAAGAACACATCTACCCATCCGAGCAACAGGTGCTATAAGAGACACCCCGGATGTGGGCATCGCATTCTGCACTCAGACTAACTTCTTTTTAACCTACCCTCGGGATGATTTCACCGCATGCGTTCTTGGCAGTGGCTTTCAGGGGGTCAAGCCAGGCCTCCACCCCACAATTCCTCTGGGTCATTTAAAGCCCACGGTCTCCCGGGGAGAGAGGCTTCCCTATCAGCGGCTTTCCCCCAGACCTCATTGCCAAGCAGATGGCAATCCTGAAGCCGGGCCCTCCAGTCTGAACCTGCCTGGGAGTGATGAAGGGCTGGGCCAGCCCCACCTGCCTGCCCTTGCCCAGCCTGTCTGTCTTCTCCTGCAGGATCTGCATCTTCTAGAGAACAGAAAGGAGCTTCCTGCAGAGCCAAAGCCTCAAGGGGACTTTTGCCATGGGGTCACGTGCTCCCAGGTTCCCAGGGGGGAATGTGGCTGGTTTGTCCAGGTATCAGCAGATCCCCCCGTAAATCTCCCACTGACACGTGTGTGTCCAGGAGGGGCTCTTCCCTTCCCTCCCCTTTCCCATGATTCTCCTTGCTCCCTCCTCCTTCCCCTGCTGCCCCAGGATACTTCGCCTTAACCTGAGCATCACAGCTGCCACAGGGGAACAAGCATTCAGAGAGAATGCCCCGAGAAAATTATTCCTCTTGGTTTCGGCAATGCTACCCTCAAGCAGAGTTCTGACGGCTGTGCTGATTCAAGCTCTCTTTCTTAAGGTGCCGGCTCAGACTCAAAATCTGGACTTCCTTGCCTGGATGCGTTACTCAAGGGCAGCTGGAACGACTCTCAAATATCCTAGTTCCCTCATGGCGGGGAGCGGGAGGACCGTGCTGAGGTCTACATGTTTTCCCTTCAAGTTGCTACAGCACCTGAAACGCTTATGAATCTTCCAGTACTTTAAAAGGTAACCTGTGGGAGGATTAAGTGAGCAACCACTGGTGCATGAGTGTATCAGTTCGTCAGACGTTCCTTCATTAACACCCAGCTAAGAGAGATTCCTGAAGGGAGAGGTGCTTCTGGAAGATACTAGTTACTTGAGAAGGCCGGGAGCGGGCCTCGCCCTAGGGAGAGTTGCCCAGATGACAAGGATAAGCCTCACTTTTCCTGGGTAGGGCAGTCTTGTCTCTACCTTCCCCTCCCTGCCATGGCTAATTCCCTCAGAGGGAATGCCCTGGAAGCATTTCTCAAAGTGCAGCTTCCAGCCCTTGCAGTGGCCTTAGGAAGTCTTCCAAGTGGTCTGCAGACCAGTTCAAAATGCATGGGTGTACTTCCTCAGTGCAACCCTCCACCCTCGGTGTCCCCTGATGCTGGAGAGTTAAAGTTGAGGTGTCCTATTCTTAGGGGGGATTCCAGCATCCCATCATTATCATCATCATCATCATCATCATCATCATCATCATCATCATAGCACGTTTCCCTAGTTTCATGAGTTCGGCCTTGACACCCATTCTATTCAACAAACTTTTATCAAATACCTTTTTTCTGTGTGCTGGGTTAGGATAGGAGGCAGAATCAGAAGACAAGGCCCCTGTCTTTCAAATGAGCCTATTTACCCTGGGAGGGGAAACAGTAATTACTGACACTGTGAAACAATTCTCTACTTACTGACAGAGGAATACAAAAGTGCCACGGGGCTCAACCCATGTCTGTAAATACCAAAGACATCTTCCCAGAACAGATGACTTGGGCAGAGTTGTGAAGGATGGTAGCCTACCACACAGACGAGAAGGAAGGCCTCTCAGGAGGCACAATGTGAAGACCCGTTTCTGAGAACACATAGAATAAAGTTGGTGAACTTTACTCTTTCCTTCCTTCCTTCATTCAAAACCCAGATTTTTGAAGGAAGCAGCATCAATTTGAGACCTAAAGGATATATCCTCTTTGGATGTGGAGGAGGGATAGTCATCCCAGGCTGAAGGGCCAGCGAGCTCAAAGGCAGGGGGGAGGGGGCCGTTCGGTTCCCAGTATATGAAGAGGAATAGGGAGGGGTTGGGTTGGAATCAGACCTCCTGGCTCCTTGGCCAATCAACCACCTCATCCTATCAATTCCACCTCTAAAAGCAGTGACTCAGGGCAGAGGTCAGCATCTGGGGCTTATCTGTCCTCTGCTCTCAGTGCTTGTTGCCACTCCCTAGACCCTTGTCATCTCTCTGCCTTCCCTGTCCACTGGTCATTCTGCCTCAGGCATCTTTCCCTTCCCATTCACCATCCACAGCACTGTTTGGGTTCCTTTCCTAAAATGCAAGTTGTACTTTATCGTCCTTCTGCATGACCTAGTTCAGTGGTTCACCCTCGTTTCAGGATAATCCCCAACCCTTAGAATGACTTGTATCATAAGGCCCTTTGGGATCCAGCTCTGCCTGCCTCTCTAGCTCTGTATCCGCTGCTCCCACCTTGCACCCTGCTTTGGTTACACCAAGCTATGAATGTGCCATGTCACTTCATGCCTTCAGGACTTTGCACATGCTCTTCCCTCCCCCTGGAAAACCCTTCTGCCTCTTGTCCTCTCAGCAAACTCCTATTCATCCTCTACGGTGGACTCAAACACTGCCTCCCTCGAGCTTCCCAGACAGAGTTAATCACTGCTATCACTTATTTCTATTTCTATTATCACTCTTATCAACTCCGCTGCTGGAAGAGCACCTTACAGTAGGCTCTTCTGCCAGATGCTGAGCAGCTTTAGGGCAGGAACCGAGTCTGCTGCATATTCCCGGCTCAGGCCCCAAGCACAGGGCTGGGCTCAACCTGGAGCAAATCGCAACAGATGGCTGAGTCAAGTTACACCAGCGTGAAGGGGCCCTCTCTCTTGGGCATACTGCCCGTCACCTGGGGAACTACGTCCAGGCCCCACCCCATCCCACAACCAGGATCTCTGGGGGTAAGGTTGGTCATTTTTTTTCTTTAAAGCTCCCTAGGTAATTCTCCTGTGGAGCCAAGCTTGAGATCTCCTGGCGAGGCCAAGAGGAGGAACCTGAGAATCAGGAGCCCTGAAGCCAAAACCACCACTGAGTCATCCTGCGATCTTGGGCAAGTCAGTGATTTCTCTGGCCTCGTTTTCTCATCTGCAAATTGGGAATTCAGAAGTGGAGGGTTTGTTCCTAAGACCCATTCCACAGGACTGACCCTGTTTGAAACATCACGAGGCATTCCCGGGTTCGGGTGGGTAGTGGGCACCTGGCTTGGGTCTGCTCTTTTCCTGACAGGTAGGGGGGAAGAGCCACCCATCGCTCAGGCTTTCCTGTTCTTCCCACCGCCACATGTCCTTCTGCCCTCCCTTTTGCGCTGTCACCAGCCTCAGGAGGCAGCGGGCGGGCTCCCTGCCCATTTCAGGCTGCTGAGCTGGAGAGGGATCTTGGGAGCCATGGGCTGGGGCTGCTTTCATGTCTCTGGAGATGATCTCTTTCAAGAATGAAGGCGCTATGCCCTTTGCATTTTCTTGTCAAAATCTCATGCTGCATTTTTGAGAGTACATGTAGGAATATATAATTAATGGTGAAAAATAAACATAAATGCTGTTTCCCTGGTACTTAGCTGAGTGCTCTGGAGGAGCGGGACTCTGGGTGGGGAAGTTCACTGCTCTGAAATTCGGGCTTCTCTGCTGGGAGATGTGGAGATTCTCCAACAGTTAGTCCCTGAGAACAGGAGCAGCCTCTTGTGGTCCCTGCGTACAGTTTCTACCATCGGCAATCCAGTGTGTCCTGGTCACAGATGAGACTCTGTCTTATGGTAATGAGCAAAGACAGAGCCCACGATGCCTCCATTTTCTTAGAAGTAAATCATGTCAGCCTGTCCCCGCAGTCGATACGAATTTGATGTCTTGCAAATAAAAGCAGCTCTAACTTGAGCAGACACAATCCATTCTCCAGCCATCTGTTGTGTCCCGGTTTCCATATAGGGATAACGGAAAGACAGGGCTTTCTTGAAAGCGTGGCACTTTGGGTGCAGAGGAAAACACACTGCCTTTCAAGGATATTAAACTGGATCTCTTGGGTTACATACCGTGAAATCAGCCTTGGGTCCGTAGCCCCCCAGATCGCTAAGTTTTCCCATTTTGACTATTTTGAATTCTCCATGATGCTTAGGGAGAGGGAATAAAACCACTTTTCCTTTCCCAGTTGTCTGCCACTTTTAAGGATGATCAATTCCTAACCCTGCTTGTGCATTAAAATCCTTTGGGGAGCTTTGGAAATGTACCGATGCCAGGACTGACCCTGTCCTTCCAAGATTTGGATGTGATTGGTCTAGGGGTGAGCTCCAGGTTCCTAGAACTTTGAAGAGTTCCCCAGGTGACTCTAATATGCAGCCAAGATGAGAACCACTGGATTAAGTATCGTGGAGCTTGGTCTGCCTTTATTCTACGAAAATAATTCACAGAGGTTGAGTATGCTCTTATGAAATTTTTTCCCCCAAATGCAATATTTATTTCACCGTGGAGGGTAGCCACTGTGTGTCGTATGGTTCTTCCTTATACTTTGGAGTTGATCTCTCTTCATCCCTTCAGTCTCCAAAACCTGCTTCTGTCCTATTCATTCATTCATCTGTCCCAGACTTACTGTGCACCCCCTTTGTGTGACAGGGTCTTCGCTTGCATGTTTCTTTACTAGTCTCCTTTTTGGTACAGACCCTGTCTTGTCTTGCCCAGGCAACAGCTGTAGACTGTTGTGTGCCCCCCAAAATACCAGGGAAAGATAAAAATGCAGATTCCTAGGTGTTTCCATTGAATTCGAATGTAGCTCTAGAACACAGCTAAAATGATGCTTATTTGGTTTTTGTTTTAATTTGTTTGTTTGTTTGTTTTATTTATTCATGAGAGTCAGAGAGAGAGATAGAGAGAGGCAGCGGCAGAGGGAGAAGCAGGCTTCCCGCCTAGCAAGGAGCCCAATGCGGGACTCGATCCCAGGACCCTGGGATTGTGACCTGAGCCGAAGGCAGACGCTTAACCATCTGAGCCACCCAGGCGTCCCGATGCTTATTTGTTTTAAATAAGTTCTGAGACAGGCAGGGCATTTACTACGCTCCAACAGAGGCTGCTCTGGTTTGTCTTCCGTAGGGCTGCTAGAGTGATCTTTCTAAAATATAATTCTATCTCACTCCCTAGCTTAAGATACCATGTTTTCCCAAGGGCTACAAAATGGAGCCATATTCCTCAGCTAACAGGAAAGGCCTGTCATGATCGGCTCTGCCCCACTTTTTGGGTTGTGCTCCTGCCTCTTCACTTCTCCAGGAACTCATGTTTCTGTTCTGCTGAATACTCACTGTTCCCTAAACACCCACCTCTGTGCCCGGAAACTTGTCTGTTCTAGTCCTTCACTTTTAAACCAGACCAACCCACCAAGTGGCTGCAGGAGCCTGGGTCTCTTCTCCCTCTCTGCTCTCCCTCTGTTCTATCAGCTTCTGACCCTCTGACTCTGTTGTCAGCTGACCTGGGCTTGGTCGGCGATGGCCTCCTGGCTCTCTACAGGTCTTGGCCCGCACTCCTTTCTGCCTCTCCCCTCTCCTTGTTGAGCTTGACTGTGAGGTTTATGGCCAGCTTGTCTGGCCCAGGCCCCAGAGGGGCCCATTTTGGCTCCTGGTGAGCAGGGATTCAACACATCCGCTTTTCTCTTTCACCGGGAATGCCCTCTCCTCACTTCTTGGCCAGAAGAGCTTCTCAAGACTTCCGCTTCAAAGTCACATCCTCATAGATATCCTTTCTAGTGTTCCCAGAAAGAATGAGCTGCTTCTTTCTCTGGGCTCTCCTGGGACTCCATGCACACTTGGAACTACCCTTATCGTGTTGTTGCCAATCTACGACTCCTTAAGGCCAGGAACTTATCTTAACAGACCTGCTGCTGGGCCAGGTGTTCAGTGAGTGTTGCTTCAATGTCTGTGCAACAAACAAAGGCTTTCTGACTTCTCCTCTGCCTCAGGTTCACACCCTGGGTTCCATGTGCTGGTTACCGAGGGGCTGCTGACCACACATTGCACATCAGTAACAGCAAAGGGTAGAAATGTGCACATCCTGGTCAGGCTGCGGGTCCTCCCTTCCTGGGCTGGGTCATTCAGATCTCTTAGGTGAATTTATGGCCTTATTGCTCATGGTTACCTTATTAATTACTTTATATACTGCACACTTTGACATTCTTGCTCCACGTCACCTGACCTAAGAAATCAGTTGCACCTTCTGAGATTTGGACCCTGAGTGGTATTCCCAGATGATAATTACCACGAGTCCCTCTGCAAACTTGTTAATAATTATAAGCAGGGAGAAGTTTAGCAGTGCTTCATATATGTATTGTTAAAACCCAATACATAATCCTTACAGATGAATAATGCAACCCTTATTCCCACAGTTAATTTCAGCTTTTTTTGTTTTATTACTCATCTCACTAGAGGCTGACCTATGAAAGCGGAGAAATCTGTGTTAGGACAGATTATATCTTATCTGAGGGTTGTTTTTTTTGCTGGCTGTGCTGGGAAAAGCTCACTATAGGAGTTTTTCTGTGCCCTGGTCCCACAGCATGGCTTCTAAGGACTGTGCTGCATTGTAGTCAGGCTCCAGTGAATTCTGTACCACCGGACAGTCATGAGGGGTGTAAAATGTATGCCCCAGTCTCTATTTGAGATGCAATACAAACATGAGAAAAACACAGATGATGATTAGCATTTTCTGGTACCAGAAAATGACTTGATATTTAGGGGACAAGGACTAACTGTGGCTTAGAAATTGGGATATTCTCCATTTTCTGAAAGTAACCATAACAATTCCATATAGAAAGAATTTTAATGGTACCTTTTACTTTTATAGGCATTGTCTCATTTATTCTCTACAGCTAGGTTTTATAAACTCTGTTTGTAGGCAAGGAAAACAAATTTGAGCGTTTTGGCCAAAATCACAAGAAACGGGGACTTTGTAAGTAGGTTTCCAACTTTAAAATCTGGTATACACAATGCTGGATTCTCTTTCTGGTGGAGCAGCTGAAGTGACAATGGAATTGTTATGGCCAAGGTCATAGGTTATATGCCCAACTGGTTCACTTAGTTACATGGAGGAAGGGACTGTGTGTTTCATCATCCCTTCCAGTACACATAGTTTCAAAAATAAGTCGACATTTCAGGCAGTCGAACTTTATTGAATGTCTCATTCATGCCAAGCTCTGTGCTTGGTTCCAGAAATGCACTCTTGCCCTCAAGAAACTCAGAATTTAATAGCAAAGACAAATAAGTAAATACAGTGTGATAAGGACTTGAATAGAGCCAGGTGAAGCATATCTAATACAGAATGGGGGTGGGGTTGGCAAGAGTCTCCAGGAATCTCCTGATCATACAAATCTTGGAAACTAGTTAGCTAGGCTAGTTGGAGGTAGCCAGGGGAAAGGTATGGCGGGCAGAGGGGACAGCTTGTGCAGACATGCATTGTAGTGAAAGAGCATGGCATATCCGAGCAATTGCAAATGTTCTAGCATAGTGAGAGCTTGGCATAGACAAGTTGAGGTGGGAGAGGTAGGCGGGATCCAAACAGAGAGTGGGCTTGGGGGCCCATGATAAAGAGTTCAACTTTGTCTTGACTGTTTTAATGATCCGTGAAGGATTTTAAATTCATATGGGGGTGTATATTTCATAAAGTCCCCTTGGGAAATCATATGGAAGAGGAAGAGTTGGGGAGCAAGCCTGGTTACAGAGCCCTGGATGCCCCAGGCTTAGGCAGCAGTGGGGAATGGGAAGACATTACAAAGGGACATCACTGAAGACCAAGTCTATCCAGCACCATGAAAAGCCTTCTGTGTTCCATGCTAGGTGCTCTTCATGCATTATCTCCAAGCATCGTCATACCAACACCAGGAGGTTGTTATCAACTATCTTCATTTATAGATGGTAAAACTGAGGCTGCATGTCACATGGCTATCAGTGTTGGAGCAGGCGTTTGAATTCAGCCCTTAATTAACTCCAGAAACTATGAGCTTAACTTCTCCATCATATTGCCTTTTGTTGAGGATCGGCCTCATTCAGAATACAGAACAAGGTCTTTGTCTAAGACACAGGAACTCTGCG